GTCCAGGGCTCCCCTCCCGCAGGCACAGGCCTCGCTGTCCTGACCTGACTCCACGTCACGTCCAGCCCCCGAGGAGGACGGTGGGCGCGAGGACTGGCACAGCCCTCGCTGTGGAGGTTTTGTGTCCTCAGCCATGGGGCCCGCCCCCTGCGAACGCTGTGCAGCTTTGCCAAAAACCCACCGGCGTCTGCTTCCCAGACGACCCAGCCAGTCCTAGCACCAGCCGCTTCCCCGGGGCGAGGCCCTGCCTTCACGTTCGCTGTTGTCTCTCTGTCCTCAGCGGCCCTTCCCGCGCGCCTTTCTCGGAATCGATAGCTTCGCATCATGTGGTCAGCTGCCCAGTTCCCTGTCGGTGACGTCCTTCCCGGCGGTTCCCTCCCAGCGTCTTGCTGTTCTCTGAACCCACCTTCAAAGGGCTTTGTCTTCTGCACCCGTCCTCCCCGGGGGCCACGGTCAGGTGCGGGCAGGCGGGGTGGCCCCCGGGACGCCCGCTCCCTCCGGGTGGCTACGCTTCTTCCATCACCTTTTCTCTTGGATGCCTTCGCCGTGCGTGCTGAGGGGACTGTTGTCAGCGGTTGCTGTGGGGCAGGTGCCCGAGTGAGTCCCTTGAGGTGGGCCAGGCAGTGACTTCGAGCAGCAGGTGTGTGAGGCCTAGAGCCCAGTGATGGTGAACCTGTGACACGCGTGTCAGAGGTGACACGTGAACTCATTTTTTGGGTTGACTTTTCTTTGTTAAATGGCATTTAAACATATAAAATAAATATCAATATCAAAAATATAAGTCTTTGTTTTATTATGGTTGCAAATATCAAAAAATTTCTCTATGTGACACGGCACCAGAGTTGAGTTACGGTTTTTCAAAATGCTGACACGCCGAGCTCAAAAGGTTCGCCATCACTGGTCTAGACTGTCTGGCCGTGACCCTGACCTTCGAGGTCCAGGCTTGGCCCGGCGGCCTTGCCAATCCCAGATTCTCTTCTGTTTCCCAGAAGGACCCAGGCGCACCTGGAAGGGGCGGGGCCTCCCTGCTGCCAGGCGGAGCTGGCTGGGCTCCTGCAGCGGCCTGACCTTGGACCTGTGGGTGATGTTTGGTCTGTGGGCTCCGCCTACCCCTTTCTCCGTTGCGGGAAGGGAAAACGCAAGGCTGTGGAGGAGCACAGAAAAGCACTCGTTCCGTGTCTTGATACGTCACAGCAGGAAACACGATTCCCAGTCTTTCCGAAATCCATCAGGTTTTCTTCATTTTCGTATTTGAAACCTCAGTTTTCAAACCATTACAGACAGTCCCCACCTGTCCGAGCTTCCCCTCCATCTCAGCCCGGGGTTGCCGGGAATGTTTCTCGATGGCCTGCCCGCCTCGGGGGGCGTCCGTCGTGGGCCTGCCCAGCTTTCGTGCCCAGCGGCTCTCCGTCCTGCTGTCCACAGCCTTCCTTCCCAGGAGTCGGTGCGAGTGCAGGACGCGCCCCCCCCAAGGCTGTCCGCTGCTCGGAGGGTGTGGGTGGTGCTGGCTCCCGGCGGGCTCTGCCCCAGGCCCCAGGCTCTCTCCCGGGGAGGGCGCTGGTCTGACCTCACGGCCTGTGTTTGAGACCCTTGAGGCTGAAGAGCAGGGAGAAGGCACCAGCCCTCCTGGGTGGTGGTGGCCGGTCAGCGCCCTCTGCTGTGTGGTGGGGACTCGCAGGTGCAGCCCCGGGGAGGAGGGAGGGGAGGAGGGAGGGCCTCCGTCCGGCTCAGGCTTGTGGCCTGTGGATCTGCACCTGGAGGGCGCTGCTCTCTGGGATGCTCTGAGCACCCCCCGCCCCCGCCCT